TCATCTCCAAAAGTCACACCTGGAAAAGAGCTAAGGAACAACTTTTAATTTTCAAATAGTGTTTGAAATTGATTAAAGTGATCATTGATTTGAAATTGTATACATACAATTAATCTATATATAAATGTTAACATTTTCAGTGAAAAAAAGAGCTCATGTAGCATTTAAAATTAGAAAATTATTTGACAAAATATTATATGTATAGGGCCACATCTATCTATAAAGCCTGCTTAATAATTATGCACATCTAAATATTTCACTTCCAGCCCTCGTTAACAATTATAGATCGCTTATAAATCAACATAGGGCTGCACAATTAATCAAATTTCTAATCCAATTACAATTACGGATGCCACAATTACATAATCGTTCAAAGCAGCAATTAATCGTTCAATGTCCACTTATGTTATTCTGCATGCTTAAGATGCTTTTCTTTCTTTCTACATGTTATCTTGTTTTAATTTTAGTTTTAGTATAACATTATAATACCATGCATATTTTTACCTTTTTATTTAAAGAGAAGCCAATCCAATTATAGTTTAGTATTTAGCTTAATACTATAGAAAAGCAATAAAAGTTTTTCAGTTAGTGTTTTCAGCTTGCTTATTTTCATATACAAATATGGCATTCAGTTGCTTCAAACAAAGGTGTAAACATCATTCATTTAATCATAATTAATAAATTGCAATTACAATTTCAAAGGAATAATCGACAATTATGATTTTTGTCATAACCGTGCAGCCCTACTGTCATTAATTACTCACCCTCGTGTTGTTCGAAACCCGTAAGACCTAAATCAACATATTATATAAAAAATGAATAGTAGTTAAGATTGATCTGGTTTGTACCTAATGTGTACATAGTACCTACAGGTGCATCTCAATAAATTAGAATGTCGTGGAAAAGTTCATTTATTTCAGAAATTCAACCCTCTTTTTATGTTGTGAATGACAATCCATATATATAAAACTATATAGAGGGGTGTTCCCTTGTCTTAACTGTAGCAGATATATTTGGGCTGGACATGTGTGATGTAGATGCAATACTGTGTATTATGTTTTTGTACAGTGTTCTTGTGTTTCCTGTCACTGTGGACGTCAGAGCGCAGTAGTACAGAGCAGAGTCTGATATAGATGCAGAGGAGATCTCCAGATCCACATGGTTTTCTTTGTCTTTACTAACTTTGGCAGTGAATCTGGAATCTACATAAGACTCCTGAGCTTCTTTTGCACCGTCTGCCATGAGCATATCATGTTTTTGTAGTGTTCTTGTGTTTCCTGTCACTGTGGGCCTCAGAGCGCAGTAGTACAGAGCAGAGTCTGATATAGATGCAGAGGAGATCTCCAGATCCACATGGTTTTCTTTGTCTTTACTAACTTTGGCAGTGAATCTGGAATCTACATAAGACTCCTGAGCTTCTTTTGCACCGTCTGAGACGGACGAGCACAACTCAGGAGCTGATTTGGGATGCTGACGATACCAGTGAAGATTATATGCAGATGAATAACTGCAGGATAATTTAACACTTAAACCCTCATCAGCAAACACCACTGATTTGGTGGGTTTAATTTCATTTCCATACGCTGCATCTGCAAAAGTAAATCAAATCTTTTTATTTACTGCATATACAACATAAAGGAAAACACTTTATACTTAATTTTGAGAAGAAAGTAGCCATTCTGGCTGCTCAGTGTACTGGGATGCAAAACACAAAACATTTTAATACTTAGATGCAAAGGCAGAAAGCAGAATGACAGAATGGAGATTCATTGTGTTTCTTATTCTCTCTCTAACAGACTTGAAGTGTAAGAAGATCACATCAGGTATCAGTGCTTTAAACTCCACCTCTTCCAGAGAGCTCTTTGAGAGAGCAGATCAGATCTGATCTGTTTCATACACCACTGAGGCATTTGATTACTATTCATATCCTATTGTACCCTCTTGTGGTTACTTACTAACTCTGTCAGTCCTCAGAACACAACAAACAGAATATGAACTACATTATTCCTCATACTTTATTAATACTTTAGATCTCATAAATTTGATGACATTCACTTTGCACAGCACTAACTAAATGATTAGATTTTTTTTTTAATTATATGCATGTTATTGTTGTGGGACAGAAGTAAATAGCATGTG